AATTTCATATCCGGTCACATGGGCGGCAAGCCACTCCTATCCAGTCACATGGATGGCAAGCCACTCCCACAAAGGAGTCCACACCCACAGAGTAGGTAGGTTCCAACAATTTTTGAAACCCACTACTGCTCTTGCCCCACCAGGGCTCATGATGTAGAGTTTCTATTTTTTTCTTGAATAGAAACCTTTGCAGTGCTAATTTTTATTTCTAAAAAAAATCTCATGTTCACCTATTAAAATATATTCTCTTCAGTGTAGGGACCAAAGATTCTGACATTTCAGTTACAGAAAAAAACTTATCTGCAAGTATTTAGACAGTTTTGCTGTTTTTATTATCTAGTAAAATGTAGAATTAGTACTATAAAAACATTTTATTCCTAGATATATGCTTGAGGAGCACCTCATCTTACTGGACTTCCTTTATCAACCTTCTTCTTCTCAGCTTCAAGTTTTAACATGATGTTTACATGAAATATAAACTGTCAATGAGACAGAGGACCTTAACAAGAAGAACTCTGATACTGTGTGGGAGATAATCTCTTATCTGCAGTTTTCCCCAACCACTTTATTTTAGTAATATAACATAATTGCCTCTCTTTCTCAGTAACAAGCATGCAAATATTTAGTTAGGTTTTTGGTTGCCTCTGCAATGTTCCTAATTTGTTTTTGTTTGAAACACAGCAGTTAATTATTTCCTGCCACTAATATTTTCCCTCTATCTTTTGACATCATGGCAGAGAAAAAACATTTTTCTTGCAATATTTCATATAGAAGCAAAAATGTTGCTACTGCTTGAAACTATGCAGCTATTGGGCTATTTGAAACCTTAAGTTTACTCACTCTGCCATTACACGCCTCACATTGTTCGCATATAAAGATGGGTTTTTCTTTTCCTCTTCAGAAGGTATATAAACAGGTAGGAACTATACACAGGAAAATAAGTTTTAATGCACAGTCATTATCACATTACACAAACATATAATACTGGTGTTTTGAAGACGAAGAAATGTTATGAGAATAAGCATTTAAAATTAGGAATAAAAAAAACCCTAATAATTTGAAGTCTGAATAGTTATCATTGAGAATACCAGCATGACAAGCGCCGTACTTGGTTTTCATTCCCTCTATTAGCATGTTCTAAGAACAAATGTAACCCTTCAGAAAGCAAATGACTATTTTTAGACAAATTATGTTTCTATCTTTGTATTAAGATTTCCTGTCACTGCAGTTATTCCATTTCCCCCATCATTCAAGCCTTTAAACTGGGGAAACCCTTTTTATTTAAAAGAGCACTCAGATGTGAAATGGATTTCTTTCCTGCCTCTGGGTACAGTATGGTTTAGGTTTATTAGATTTATATGCCGCCCTTCTCCCAAGGACTCAGGGCGGCGTACAACATTAAAAGAAACATATAATAC